AAAAATTTCTAATCATAATTAATCACCATCATGAAGCTCAAATAATGAAAACCAGAATCCCTAAACTGACCCTGAATGCTGAAACTTTTATTAATGAATTTGGATGGGTTTATTTTATTTTCCCTATATCTGGGTTTTTTTTTTTTTTTTAATGATCGAGGGTGTCTGGGTCACAGTTTACGCGCACCTTAACTAATTCTCGGGACCCTAAAACTACCGGTTAGGTAAAAGTTCTAGTAGCTATCTCTATTAATAATCAAGGAATAAGTCAAACTCAGGACCTCTTAAATAATACACCTAAAAGTCTTTATCGAACTACTCAACCACTTAAGGGTAGTTTCCTTATATCTGTTTTATTCGAAAAAATATTAAAAAACTCCTAAAAAAATACCAAACACCTCTTTATAAAATTATTAAAAAACCCTGATAGACGTATTTAATACTTCTTTAAGGAAGTAGATAAGTTTCAATTGAAACGATTTCGTAAGGGTGAAAATCAAATAAACCCCAACTTAGATTAAAAAATCCTGCTTAGAACAGGGTCATTAAAGTCTTACAAGGCTTGCTTCAACAGATAGGCATCACGGCATCATTAGAGTGACCAAATTGCAGTTATAAAATGTAATAAAATACTGTTAAAGACTTGAGTAAAATAAAACATTCAGAGGAGAATCCCAGCTTCTCCTGCAACACCATTTTCATAAAGTTTTCTTCTTTCATTCTTTGTTCTGTTCCTTATTACCCAGCACTTCAGAAAGTATTTTCCTTTGATTCTGCGTGTGTTTGTGTTAAATAAACAGAAAGCATTAGCAACATTCATGGCTGGAAACAAATTTGCAACCATGTTGCACAAAAACACCCACAAAATCACTATGATTCTAGTCTATGCAGTCCTCGAATGGATCTTAATCATTCTCCTTCTCCTCAACTCTTTGTTCACTTATTTGATCACGAAGTTTGCCGACTACTTTGGCCTTAAACGACCCTGCTTATGGTGTTCTAGAGTCGATCACGTGTTGGAGCCTGGAAATAATACAAATTCCTACAGAGATCTTGTGTGCGAGACTCATGCTGGTGAGATTTCCACGTTGACTTATTGTTCGAGTCATCAAAGATTGGCTGAAACACAAAATATGTGCGCAGAATGCTTGGCTTCTCGACCACAACACAACGATGAATCCATTGGAATGGCAAGGAGGATCGCGTACATTTCTTTGGTGAGTACACACAAACTTCAAAATGATGATGATCAGGCTCTCAGATGTTCTTGCTGCAGTGAGAGTTTGAAAAATAAGCTCTATCCGCCTTACTTGCTTTTCAAGTCTTCTTGGGGTGCTTTGGATTATACACAGAGAGGAGGGCTGATTACTGAAGCAATGGGTGATGACAACAATAGAGTTCAGTTCAAAGAGAAAAAGAAGCCTAACAGCCAAGCAAGTCTGGATGAAAATGACAATGAGATTGAGAGAAACCACGGAGAAGAATGTCATAATGATAAAGAAGCTGTGGATGAGTTTCATGTTATTTCTGATATTGATAGTTTTGGCCTCACAGAAGTTGCGGAGGAAAATTACTCAAGGTCTGAATCAAACCTGCAATATGAAGAAAAGGAAGCTTATGAAGGTGAGGAATTAGGTAAGGCTTCTGTTCATTATTCTCGTGATGACGACAATATCATTCAATTCTGCTCTGCTGAAGATGATTTACTTGAAATTATCAACCTGGGTTCCGAAAGAAATATTGAATTTTGTTTCAATCGTGTAATTCCTATTGAATTGATTGATTCATCAACTACTGCAAATCAAGTATCCTGCAACGTAGATGAGGGAGTGCTCAGAACAAAAGTTGACGAAATTGAAACTTTTGATTCTTCATTACTACTGAGTGAAACACAAGCCAATGTCTTGGTAGATGCACAATTAATTGGAACGGATGACAATGGAAAGAAGACAAGGTATGAAGAATTTGAAAGATCAGAGACATATATCGGGGAAGTTGAGGATTCTTCAGTTCAAAATGTTGAAGAGGAAATGCAAGATTTGGTTGGTGAGGCATGTGAACAAGTTATTGCTAATCAAGTAGATCAGATTTTATCCACAAATGGAAATGAGGTTGAAGCAAAAAGTATGAATGAACCAGGTAGCCTTACAGTTACAGGTACATTAAAATGATTATAATGAATTAAATCCTCCATTAACATGGCCTGTAATATTTTCTTCGACCTAATTACTAATTTGCTGATTAAAAACAGCTCGAACCGAAGAAGCAAATGAGTCTAACTTATCAGTGGCTGAAGTCGAAGCAGCCGATCATGCAGCCAACCAGCCTCAAGCTCAAGAACTCGCATTGCCATGCCAACAAGAAGACCAATCTTCCATGAACACCCCTGATGCTGAAATTATTAACCCCTCTGAAGACATCGGTCAGAATGATCTTGGTAAGCAGTAAATTTAATATCTTTCTTCTGCATATGATATCTGGTGATAAGATTCTAATTTAGCTTTGGTATTTAACTAGACCAAAAGCATGCAGAGACAGACACCATACTGGAAAATATGAGTTTGGTTTGTAAGAATCAAGAAGGGATAAACTTAAATTTGTCCATTCGTTCGGAGCCTAATGAAGCAGATGAAGAGAAATTTCCTGACACACCCACTTATGCTGAAAATTTCCACTACTTGCACAAGAAACTACTATTGTTGGAGAAAAGAGAATCGGGAACAGAAGAGTCTTTAGATGGAAGTGTGGTAAGTGAGATGGAAAGTAGTGATCCTGTCCTAACAATCGAGCGGTTGAGGTCAGCTCTGAAAACCGAACGAAAAGCCCTGAGTGCCTTATATGCAGAACTAGAGGAAGAAAGGAGTGCCTCCGCAATTGCTGCAAACCAAACCATGGCTATGATAACCAGGCTTCAAGAGGAGAAGGCAGCAATGCAAATGGAAGCATTGCAATACCAGAGGATGATGGACGAACAGTCAGAATATGACCAGGAAGCCTTACAACTTCTGAATGAGCTCATGGTCAAGAGAGAAAAGGAGAAGCAAGAACTTGAGAAAGAATTGGAAATATATCACAAGAAGGTTCTGGATTATGAGGCGAAAGAGAAGATGAGAATGATGAGGAGAAGTACTGATGGAAGTGTAAGAAGCAGGAAATCTTCTGCTTCTTGCAGTAATTCAGAGGATACCGATGAGCTCTCGATTGATCTTAATCGTGAAGCAAGGGATGAAGATAGTAGCTTATCCGGCCGTCAAGAAAGCACTAGCGACAATACTCCAGCCGATGAAGTTGTAAATTTGGAGGAAATGGCGCTAGATTGTGTGAAGCATATGACAGCGCTTGATGAATCATTGACAGAATTTGAGGAAGAGAGGCTGTCCATTCTAGATCAGCTTAAGGTACTAGAAGAGAAGCTAATTTCAGTAGGTGATGATGAATTCATTGAGGATTTGAAATCAATAAACCAACCCTCAAACTATGCTGTCAATGAGTTTGATAAGAACCATGATTTTAGCAGTCCAACAGAAAATGGAGACTCAAATGATTTTTCTAAGGACGGGCTTTACCCTGAGAAAAAAACTATGGCTTCCATGGCGAAGAGCCTCCTTCCTCTTCTGGAAGCAACCGGTAATGAAACAGAAGGGTTGATATATGAAGAACAAGCAGAATTTGATTCTGTTGAAATTCAGAACTCATCAGTTTCCACATTTGATCTTGATAACAAAAGACTAGCCATTGTTGAAGAGGTGGATCACGTTTACGAGAGACTACAAGCTCTCGAAGCAGATAGGGAGTTTCTAAAGCATTGTGTGAGCTCTGTAAAGAAAGGAGACAAAGGTATGGATCTTCTCCATGAGATCTTGCAACATCTCCGAGATCTGAGGGCTGTTGAACTCCAAGTAAGTAACATGGATGATGATGCTCAGATACTCTAGAAGGAAGTTGCAGCAAAGAAGCGGAAGTGATTACAAGAGGTAAGTTTACCAAAACTTGTATCTCATAGATTCCTTTCAGTCTAATCTTGGTAAATTTGTACATCAGGACTGCTTTCTTTGTTAATTGATATGAGCAATTTGTTCAACAAATGCAGACTGCTTTCTTCATGATGACATTGCAGACGTAAACAGTGCAAGTACTTCGCAATGAGCAAGCTCGTTAAAAATGCTCATAGATTTAAGAGTTTTCTGCAGAAAACCAGGAAACCTCTTGATGGAGGGGGTGTTCCTGGTCTGGTTTGTTTAAATTAGTACAGACTACAAAAATGGAAGGTTTGCCCTTGCCTCTAAGTTGTCTTTTGGGCTTCTACACAATCATGTGAAGCCTAAGTTTTGTCATATATATGTCCCCCTCACTGCTCCTTTTTCCTGGAAAAGGTGAAAGATGATTAGGAGTGTGTCTACATTATTTGAACTGGGACTGAAAGCTTATTTCTCATTTGAATTGAGCATAGAGGGGGAAGGGTTAAAGGGGAAGAAGAAGAAGAAGGGATCATTCTTTCTTCCCCTAGTCTTGGACTTGTTAAATACCATGAGTTTCCAGTATCTGGAAGCAGTTAATCTTAAACATCTTACTGTGTCAGCCAGTTGCAGGGCAGCTAGCTTTTCACAGAAATAGAAGATATAAGAACCAAATCACGTTTCTTTTTAAACTAGCAATTATATTTTCAGTTGTTCTAAGTATATGTTTAGGTGTACACGACTGCAATGAGCCAATCCTCAGTTCAAAGTTTGAAACTTTTTTCCAGGAAATAAAAGACAAACTAAAAACATACAAAGCAGAAGTATGCATCATGACATCATAATAATATAAATTGCTTTTTATTACTTAATCTGAATTAAGCAAAGGCAGTAGGACACAAAATGCAACAAATAAAAAAATGAAGGCAATTGATGGTAAAACCAAAAGAACATAGTTCTGAATGTTTTTCCTAAACAAATTCACCTTTTCCAACAACACCATTTACATAATTCCCAGTTTAAAACTGCATTCCAGGTGCATTTTTCTGTAAGTTCAACACCCTAGAGCTCGAGGGGTCCTCTCTTCCCCACAATCAAGCAAAAGTAGCTTTAACAGGCAAGAATTCACCTATTGGGATAGAATTTGATCTTCAGGGATAATTTGAGATCCCCATAACTAAAATATATATGCTCAAGCACAGTCCTAGTATCGAGGACTGCTAAATTCTGGCAGCTGTTTTGGGTTTAAGTTTTATAGTTGTGGGCTTATTCTTGGGCGCTACTTCCATGTCTAGCCTTCATGTTTTGCTTCAAGTAGCATGTTGATAACAGTTAAAAAGTGGTATAGTGTTGTGCCAAAAATATAAACTATGTCAGCACCACTAGTTAGAGTTCAATTAGCACTTAAAGATGAGGTGGTATTAGCTATCATTAATTCAAACCACCTCTAAGAGATATTTTATATCAATCCTATCACATTTTAAAATAAGGATTAAGGAATGGTCTCTATGTGTCAAGACAAGTTACAAAAGCACTAATTATGTTGAGCTCAAATTTGTATAAATAGGCACCTCTCTTCTTGAAAAGGGGGTTGGTTGGACATATGAAAGCTAGACAAACATTAGAGCTTTATTATTTTTTCTTTGTAAACAAAGCATTTCTCAATTTTTGTACGCAAATAATATCAGAAAAATAGTCAGAGAATAATAAAATAACAGTGGATATAGGATTCTCTTTAAGCATCAAACCAATTAGAAACCTCTTTTGTCAATCTTTTATTTATGTTTCATCAAACATATATCATCTCAGCATTATAAACACTTCTGCATTAACCATTCACGTGTAATTTCTAAATCAGCTTAACACTTTGCATGTGCAAATTATCGATGTCAAAATCAAGCATCAACATATATTAACATCCTTACTCACCTTCCCTAGTGGGGTTAAAAGAGATATGATCATTGTATTAGGTGATAGAACTCGGATTTTTCTCTCAAACTTAGATATAATCTTCCAAACAGACTCGAGAATAAAAATTGGGCTCAAATCCCTTATCTCCGCTTTAAGTATCCATATAAAGTGATTATAGTAAAGGAGGATAATTCAAGAATTCTATGATAAAGTAAGATGATTAACCCATGATCCATCGAAGGGAAAGATGACAAGACTGGACAACTGTCTGATGAAAGCATATAACAAAATAGATGTTGACTAGGTGTAACTGCAAAAATGATAAAATTCAGCACAAGTTGATCTTGTCAACATCCATATAATGATTCTGTTTTTCAGTTTATTGATCAAGACAAAAATTGTGTGCTAGCCATGTTGTTCAAAGACAAGAATAAAACAAAAGGCATCATCTTTGCTGATGCTAGACATAAACAAATCCTTTGAATTAGTCAACTATTTAATGAAATCAAATGCAATCTTACAGCATAACACTTATTCTGTACCAGAGTTCAGGATTCTTCAGTCACGGAAACACTGTAAATATTAATATACAAAGACATTTAGATTATCTTAAAATTTTCTCATGCTGCTTTTTGGATGGATTATTTTTCCGTATCATATTTTAATTACTTTGGTGAATAAGTGAAATTAAACGACCACAATTCATATCAGACTATTCATAATGCAGGAATAGGAAGGCTGAAACTTGGTCACTAATGAAAAATAATATTTTTTAGATTTTTCTAATATAAGCTTATGTTACCCACCGACTCTTATCATGAATAAGGAGAAACAAGATCACACAGAAAGCAAATGATATTAGCAAATTGAAGAAATATGAATGTCATGATTATGACTAATCACTAAGATTATGTCAGTTGTCCAAAAATCATTCAATCAATCAATTTTTTGATTTAGTGTAATTACATTATCTTGTTTCTTTATTGTATAACTAAACTTTCGTATAAATAGATGATTTATTCACAATTCAAAATAATTTAATGCGATACAATTGAATTCATGTAAAGATATCTTTCAAACATATTCCGACCTTTCAATTATTTCTCTTGCTCTCTTAAAAATATTTCTCGACATACTCCTGTTTTCTTCAAATTACCTCTTTTGCCCTCTCAATCCTAACACAAATAGTGATTGAAGAAGGTCTTTTGATTCTTAATTAATTTCCTTTTTCCACTTTTCCTTGAGAGAAAAGAAAGAAATCCAACCTCTGGATTTTGAGAAAGATTAATCAAACAAAAAGAATGATAAGAAAAAAAAAGTGTTCATAAAAGCAACTTAAAGCAGTTTGCTTACCAGTTACCAATACCATCTCCCAATTTAGCTTTTGGAAACTTTAAAATATTGAGATTGGAATTGGAGTGGCGATTCTTAAACTTTCCTTTCCTTCAACTTCACTGTAAGAATAAGAAGATAAAATTGATGAATAAAAATGAATTTACAGGGAATTCTTTATTGTGTATAATTTTTATTTTAATGACCGTATAACAAGAATTGTAATGAGCGATAGAGAATCTTGTCTGTCAGTGAAAACAGTAATGGCGGCGTCATTGTAGTTGAGTTGAAAGAGAGGTGATCTGCTTTGGGCTGCTCGCCCATTCATGGCCTCTGTAATTTTCTCTTCTTGGGTTACGTAGAGAGCATGCATTTTGAACGACGAAAAAATTATAAAGAGTTGGCTGACTTCTGACGAGAGATATGGTTACGTAAAATCAAAGGGGAATCGGATTTTAATGAACATGTTTTGGATATGGTACGGATTTCCGAACTTCATGGGATTTATTATGAGTTTGAGTCAACACTTGATAATACGCTTACTATATGAAGATATATTTTCCTTTAAAATAAATATAATTAATAATAGTTTAATCAAAAAATTGTCTTTTAGGTAAACGTGAGAATGTATGGCGATACAAACAATTGAGATTTTTGTATGAATTGCATCGTGACATTGACTCATTTTAAATTTATTATAATAATTTTCATCAAATATTATCTCTATCTTTATTACAGACAAATCTAAGCGTGCATTCACTATAAAATTTTAAACATTAGATGTAATTACTTTATGTACTTTCATAGTTACAACATAAAATCTAACATGTCAATGATCTATTCAATAGAAAGTAGAAGAGACTTTTTTTTTTAAAAAAAAAAAAAAATACACTTACAACTTTTTCATCCAATTTTCTTATACAAACCTAAGGTGATAGCTTGCAATTGATTAGTTTGCATTTGGACAGACATGACTCATTACAAGCTGACCAATCGTGAACTACCACATGAAGGTTGTATGAAAAAATTATAAGTGTAGTGCTGCATTTTTTTTTCTTGTTAAAAATTAATAAAAGAAAATCTTTCTAAAATTTTACATATGTCCATGTTCAAGAAAATGGATATGTATACTAGTATTTTTTTTTTTTTATAGGTTAAATATCCCCAAACTTTTGAAAATTCTTCCAAAATCCTATAAATTTTCGTATAATTACTATTATAAATAGAGACGTAACCAGGATTTTTAGTAAATGAGTTCAAAACATTTACAAAGTATAAAATCTTTTTTTATTAATACACATTTTTGTGGGGTCAATATGAATTTAAGTATGGTCAAAATTATAAATACTATAAAATATAAAGTCTTTTTTTTTTCTTTTAAAGTTTGAGTGGGTTCAATTGAACCCATATGTTATAGTGTGGTTACGTCCTTATTATAAATCTCCATAAAAACCAATGAACATTAGGAGATGCAATGAAATTTATTCTAAAATCATTAGAAAAAAAAAGACCTTTGTCTCAATTGTTGGTTAATTTATAAATATAATTTTACTTTCATAAATTTTGAGCCCGACTCCTCTACAGACTTCCAACTCCCATTTCCAGTTAGACCATCCAAATCTTCCTCAAAATCATTATCTATAGAAATGATTTGGTCTAAAATCAAGTGAATTTTAAAATCAGTTGTCTAACATACTTCAAAATTAATATAAAAGAAACAATTCTTTTTATTAATTATGAAATTATTAGTTTTATTTAATATTTTTTTAATTAAAATATAGGTAGGATTCGTGTTGGCGTCTCACGCAAGCATTATTCATTCAAAATACATGTATTAACTATATGATTGTTCAAACATTATAAATTGAATCATGACTTTATTCATTAGCAATATAAGATGTGACACTTAAACCCCAAGAGATTTTCTGACCGTCAAGAAGATATGCTCCTTTTATTGCTTCCTGGATTCAAACTAATAGAGATCATTAGAGATCTTTTTGTGATTACCACTAACTTAGTCTTAGATAGTTCAGCTATCATTCAAAGTGTAAATATTCAAATATATTTAAATTAGTTCTACGATATTATCTGGCTTAGTCTTAGGATATATGGTAGCATGTTGAATGCATCAAATTAATTAACCTTACTAACATAACTACTAAATTGTATATAGGGTGAGCAAGGGTCGATCCCACAGGGAATGATTCGATTAAATCCTATATTCTATGTCAATAGCCACAATGAAAACAACACAATAAAACCCTAAACAGTGAACATGACAACACAACAGAGTAATGAAAGGGGTTTGTAATCAAGGCAAACTAAAGTAAAAACAAAGAAGTCTTTAATGGAAGAAAAAATCAGATTAAAAACAATCAGTTCTTGGTTCAAGATCCACCTAAACATGCATTGGACACGAACTAACTGTAACACTATTCTATCTCGTT